AGTCACACAGCCACACAGTCACACAGTCACACAGTCACACAGCCACACAGTCACACAGTCACACAGCCACACAGTCACAGTCAGTCACACAGTCACACAGTCACACAGTCACACAGTCACACAGTCACACAGCCACACAGTCACACAGCCACACAGCCACACAGTCACAGTCAGTCACACAGTCAGTCACACAGTCAGTCACACAGTCACACAGTCACACAGTCAGTCACACAGTCACACAGCCACACAGTCACACAGCCACACAGTCACACAGTCACACAGTCACACAGTCACACAGTCACAGTCAGTCACACAGTCACACAGTCACACAGCCACACAGTCACACAGTCACACAGTCACACAGTCAGTCACACAGTCACACAGCCACACAGTCAGTCACACAGTCACACAGCCACACAGTCACACAGTCAGTCACACAGTCACACAGTCAGTCACACAGTCACACAGTCAGTCACACAGTCACACAGTCACACAGTCACACAGTCACACAGTCACACAGCCACACAGTCACACAGTCACACAGTCACACAGCCACACAGTCACACAGTCACACAGCCACACAGTCACAGTCAGTCACACAGTCACACAGTCACACAGTCACACAGTCACACAGTCACACAGCCACACAGTCACACAGCCACACAGCCACACAGTCACAGTCAGTCACACAGTCAGTCACACAGTCAGTCACACAGTCACACAGTCACACAGTCAGTCACACAGTCACACAGCCACACAGTCACACAGCCACACAGTCACACAGTCACACAGTCACACAGTCACACAGTCACAGTCAGTCACACAGTCACACAGTCACACAGCCACACAGTCACACAGTCACACAGTCACACAGTCACACAGTCAGTCACACAGCCACACAGCCACACAGCCACACAGTCACACAGCCACACAGCCACACAGCTACACAGCCACACAGCCACACAGCCACACAGCTACACAGTCACAGTCAGTCACACAGTCACACAGTCACACAGTCAGTCACACAGTTACACAGTCACACAGTCAGTCACACAGCCACACAGTCACACAGTCACGCAGTCAGTCACACAGTCACACAGCCACACAGCCACACAGTCACACAGTCACACAGTCACACAGTCACACAGTCACGCAGTCAGTCACACAGTCACACAGTCACACAGTCAGTCACACAGTCACACAGTCACACAGCCACACAGTCACACAGCCACACAGTCACACAGTCACACAGTCAGTCACACAGTTACACAGTCACACAACCACACAGTCACACAGTCACAGAGCCACACAGCCACACAGTCACACAACCACACAACCACACAGCCATACAGTCACACAGCCACACAGTCACACGGCCACACAACCACACAGCCAGCCATGGAGTAAAAGGAGAAGATATATAGAATAAAGGAAGGTAAAAGGTCCAGAGGCAAAATGCTGTTAAAGAGAAATGGGATAATATAAGTCAGAAAAACTCAGACTACAAGCAAGCCAAACTAAGGCTTGGCATTCATAAATAAGAGTAAGTCCCTGTGCATTTATTTGGAAGCTGGGTGGTGGGACCCTAAAGATTAAAAAGAAGCCAAGTGCAGCAGGTCCCCACCCTTGCATCCCTGTCCCTAGGGAGAGATGTGCCCTCCACTTGCTATAGATGGAACAGCTCCGCCTTCCTTTGCCTTCTCTGCTGTGCATAGCCCCCATTCTTTTCTGGAGGCCTGGAGAGGCCTCACTCTGGCCTCTTCCTGCCTCTCCCTCGATTCTACTCCTTATCAACTTTTCCATGGGCGTTCCTGGTAGTCACTTTTTTTTGGAATGAAAGTATGTCTAACTTCAGAAAATGAATGAATGAATAAATGAATGAATGAATGAATGAATGAAAAGGAAATGAGCCAATCAATCAAAATACAAAATTTTCTTCTCCTTTTGCTTCTGGGGTACAGGGACTTAATTGAATGTATGTCTTCATTGGGGTAGCATGATCATTGGCCACTCAAGTCTCTGACTTTAATTTCTGAATCCCCTTTTCTGACTTCTGTTCTTCCTCACTCGGGATCGGTAACAATCCTAAACTATGCGCATCTGTTTTACTTTAGGTGTTTAGTGTTCTTGGGAATAGGATTGTGGGCTTATTTAGATAATTGTTCCCACTGCTAATAGCTCCTGGGACCACAGAAAGAATAATCGAGGCATCCACCAGGAAGAGAGCACCCTCAAAAGGAGGATTTCCAAATGGGTATCAACTCATCACAGCTGGGGAGGAGGAATAATTCCACCAGAGGCATCCACCAGGAAGGGAGCACCCTCAAAAGGAGGATTTCCAAATGGGTATCAACTCATCACAGCTGGGGAGGAGGAATAATTCCACCAGAGGTATCCACCAGGAAGGGAGCACCCTCAAGGGAAGGACTTCCGAATGTGTATTTAAAAATCACAGCCAGGAAGGAGGAAGAACTCTGGGTGCCATCCTACAGCACAATAGGTTAACTATGGTAACAATTAATTGACTGTTTCAACACAGTAAGGAGAGAGGGTTTCCAGTGTCTCCCAATTTCCAACACAGAGAAATGCAGCTTGTTTGAGGTGGTGGGTGTGTACCAATTACTCCATCTGCCCAGTATGCATTGTATGCCTGTGTGAAAATGTCACAGTGCCCCTCATAACTATGTGTCAATATTTAATCAAAAAAATGGGCGACATCATGAATGGTTGCTTTACAGAGATGAAAAACAGACAAGTGATGGCCCAGAAGATGCTGTCAATTGAAGACAAGTCAGAGATGAAAACATGACAACTTGGAATAAAATATGTGCTGGTGGAAGTCATTTGGGGTCTATGTTCTCCACGCTGCTTTGTGAGAACACATCCGTGAAAGCAGCGGGCACCTCCTCACTCTGCTTCTCCCCTCATCCTCCGGCCCCAGGCGTCTCTCCTCACCTAGCCACACCCACTGTTCTCAGTGGTCCTTGTGATGGTGGAGACTCTTCATTCTCGTCTCAGCTGCCTCCCTGGCTCTGTAGAGTCGACATCAACTGCAAAATTTCATCTTGCACTGGGGACAGCCAGGGCATGATCTACAGCTACTCTCAGTTCTGCCCAACCCTTGCTCCTCGTCCCTGAACCCTGCATCAATCAAGAGCTCAGGCCACCTCCCTGGTCAAATCTAAACCAAACTGCTCCTGAGGGAACCACAGCATGCTCCCATTTGGAAGAGGAGGCTGTCTGCCCAAGGGCTTCAGCTGTGGGCTCCATTTGCATGAATAAACAGCTCTGAAGAGTTCCGCTGAAGCTTTTATGTAAACACTCTCCAAAATATGTTCTGTGCTGCATTATCCCCAGCAATAAAGATCCTGGAATCGGCATTTGGCTGTCAGTTTTATTGATGTTGCGTGGGGCACAGTAGAATACAGCTTTCTCTTTTGGAAATTTATTGGCATGGCAGTGCGGAGAGCAATAAAACTGTGTTTTTAATCAGTAAGCCAAGCAGACATGATTCCAGGAGAAATATAGGAAGCAAACATGCCATGGCAAGGTTTCTCACTCCACTGCCCCTGCTGTTCTGGGAGCTCTGGTTAAATAATACAGGGGTAGGGAGCGGGGGTGCTTAGTGGGACTGCATGGTCTCTAAGAAACTGTTGAGTGAGAGCCGTGTCCAGAAATGAAGTTGCAGAAATTCCTCTGAATTATCTCTGAGGAAGGAATTGCTGGTGAATGGGTTTGTGAGAGGAACAGGGAGGGTAGAACACTCTAGAACACTCTTCCGTAAGAAAAGGTTAGGATTCAAATGTCCCCTTCAGTGCCCAGAGGAAAGGCGTTTTGAAGCATCGGCATGGTTGTTGCCCTGGTCCGTGCACTCAGTCTCTTTGTGTCCGAATTTCTCCTGTTGTCAAAGGGAAGTATGCATTTCACTCCTCCATCCTACTGTCATGTGGATTAAATAAAGTTATAGATGGGCGTCACTCACAAGGCAGCTTATGGAGGCAGCAAGTTCCCTCTGTCACTGGCTGAAGTCTGCTATCAGAGAGGACGTGAGCTTTCTGGGTGGTTAAGCAACCATGGTTCTCACATGTGTCCTGTTACCAGAAATGTCCTGATCTATTTCCTTCATAACCTTGGGCACAAGCATCGTGAGACATTGCAGATATTCAATCAATAGCTGGATAACCTTCCTCACCTTGAAGATGCATCACCTGACTTACCTTACATCAGGTTCCTCTGATGGTCACACGTCACCCATCCACTGGTTTTGCTGTAGTTGACTGTCACTCTTTTCTCAATACTCAAGTCCTGCACAGCTCCGGGGACAACTGTAAGAACATGCAGGTAGTCCCTATGGCTTTGAGTGTCTGAAGGTAACCCTCCCATAGATACTCCCCCGGATGCCGTGAGATGCCCAGGGGAGTGAACCAAAGGAGGGAAGTGACCAGATGCAGAGGCCAGAATCAGCCACCTGCTGATTGGAGGCTGATGGAGGCTGAGACAGAAACTATTCCCAGTGGATCTTTCCTTCTCCCACTCACGGGGTTTCTGATTGTCATTCCACCATTGTTTCCTTAGCCACCCCAAACAGCTTCTTGTCCACTTCAATACCAAACCAAGCACAATGCTTCAGAACTGTTGGTGACTATTTACTTGGTGCCATGCCCTGTTTGGGACTAATCCAGATGAGATCTCTCAACAACCTACAAGTTGGGAATTGTTATTCCAGTTGTATTGAGGAAGAGCCTGAAACTGAGTGTTTAAGTGGCATGCTCAGGGCTGTATAACAAGGTAGAGGGACCCATTTTGATAAGGGCCAAGAATGACTCCTGGCTTAATCTCCTACTGATAGAAGTTAGATGATTAAACTGGAGTCCAGTAGCAAGTGTGAGTACACACGCGCACGCACGTGCACACACACATACATACACACACTATTCATGAACTTGAAAAACAGCCAGTCACAACCCTTAAGCTTTTACCTTTTCTTCTTTCATTTCCAGATCACTCACCTATCTCCCTGTCAAAGTGATCCCATCTCAGGCTTTCAAGGGACTTAATGAGGTCGTAAAAATGTAAGTAAGATTCCGCACATCAAAAGACATTTATAATTGAAATAATGAATTTTTTTCCTAAGAGAAAAACAGTTGAAAGGGGATAATTTTTCCAGGAGAGAAACTGTGTTTAGGAAACCCAACTATTTTTATCTCTTATAATACAAACAGTACCTAGCAGCCTTTGAAGAAATGGTATGATTTTTCGAGAGTCATTAAAATCTGGATAATTAACCTTACTTCAAATAATTGAATGCATTTTGATAAGCGATGATATCCTTTTTAAGTAGAAAAGAGATAGATTCTGATCATGAAAGTTTCCCTTCTGCTACAGCAGCCATTCCCCAATGTCGCTTTTTTTTGGTAACTCCCACATGGATGAAAATATGTTAGAAGTTTATTGTGCATCATAAGGTAATCATTGTATCTAAAGTATAATAAGTGCCTGACAAAAGCCCAGGGTTTATAGCTGTGCTGATGAAAAGCGTGAACAGAAGCGTGAAGCAGCCGATGATGCCGTATGATCTCGTGTTCTTCAGGGGGGAACTTCTGCCTCTTGTTCCTGGGTTTCAGCTTCCAGAGCAAAAGACCTCATAGCAGATAAGGGGGAAGCTTTGCAGGACCCTCATCAACATTAGCCTGAGCCAAACTGGCTCAGCCGCCATCTCCTCCCCCACAGGCTACCCCCAAATAATCCAAGTGATGGCCAAAGTAGATTTGCATACCTAAGCAAGACCTCACACCATCTTAGCTCCACAGGGCCCCTCTGCTACTCCTTGTCATTAGCAAGCAATGAGGACATTAAAAATACTACCATCAAAAGTACGACATCCTGCTCTTGCTAGGGACTGGGGTTCGGTTCTCAGCATCCATGTTGTGTGACTCATAGCTGCCTGGAACTCGAGTCCTGGGAGCATCCAACGCTGCCTCCTGGCCTCTGAAGGTATCCTCACACACACTCACGTACACACAGAGAGACATACGCACAACACAAAATAAATCTTTTAAACTCCAAGTCCTCAATAACAGTGTGTCTTACAGGAGAGTGACTCCCTGCAAGTTGCGGGTGTGGGTTTGCCAGGCTGTCCGGTGCTCTCCTCTGAAGTTTAGATGCTGAGCTTCCATGACTTTTAATGCTTGGGTACCTCCTCCTGAGAAAAGCAGGCACAGTTAAATAAGCAGGAATCTGATAGGGATGAGATGAAAGAGGCCAAGAGCCATCCAGTGATGCTGCCTTAGGCTCTACCTTCCTGTGGGCTAAGCTCTCCTGGAGTCTAATGCTTTCAGTTAGCATTAACCTCAGAAATACACAAACCCACGTGTAAGCAACTTCCCTAAGACTAAGACTAAGACTAAGACACATAGGTCCAGTCAGACTAAACCGTCTAATTAACTGGGTCTAAACTGATACTTTGCCCTTAGGGGCCTTCAAAGTATAATTATTACATGGATGAACAAATAAATGAAATGTGAACTTAAAAAAGAAAAGAAATACATAAATCCACACTTGTGAAGTGGAGACTTTTCTTCTCAGCTGGCAGCAAAGGGCAGCTTTTGTGGGGGTTGTGACATTAGCACCACCACGCTTGGGTTTGATGTATGACAAAACTGATTCATTTACATTCATGCCTTTCTTAAGAAATACATTTAATCGGGAGTCTATTTGCTCCCATATTCCTTCGATCTCTAGGCATGTACCAGGCAAGATGAAGCCACCAGGGACTCAAAAAAGAATAGAAAGTGTTTCTTATCTTGAATTTGCTCAAAGAGTGAGCCACTGGAGGAAAAGGATAACTAGAACCCATGAGTGATCTGACAGCATCATGTGTAGGATGTAACTACCTTGAAGGAACCTCAGAAAAGGCTTTGGAAAAGCCAAGAAACAACTAATTCAACCCAAATTCAGGCCTTACTGGAGTGATGGACCAGTACCTCAGAGACCTCAACCACAGCTTGAACCTTCATGTAAATTCTATTAGGTTATTGCTGTCCAGAGCAGAAACCAGATCAGAGATTTTTTTAAGGGCCTACGCAAATTCCAAAAATGTATGACTCAGACAAACAAGAGAATAGACTTTCATCTAAATAGGGATGACTGCAACTCACAGTTCAAATGCACTAGAGTTGTAGACTCTCATTGGTGCCCCAAAGGGAAATGTTAGCCCTTAGTGATGTAGGAACAACTTGGACACTCACATTCCTTCTCAGAGGACACGGGAGCAATCAGTGACTGGGTCCCACACGGAAATCATTATTACAAGGACATAATCATTTCTGATCATTTCTCTCACGTTTCTTTCTTCTTCTTTTTTTTTTTTATTTTTCCTCTTCCCCAGTGAAATCTCTCAGAGTGACTCCCTGGAAAGGATAGAAGCTAATGCCTTTGACAACCTCCTCAATTTGTCTGAAATGTAAGCATCAGCTAACAGATAGTTTATTGCTGTACACTATCACCCTGGCTGGTGGGAGCCCACTTGGTATTTGTGCTCAAGCATCCAATGCTAGGAATCCGAGAGGAAAAGACTGTAACAATTACTAGTTCTGGGGAGGCACTAATGTCTCTCACTGCAGTGGCCCGAAGGTTGCCATGGTGACAACTGCTTCTCCCTAGGAGCTGTGTAAGCTCTGAAACATCACAACACAATGCTGGAAATTAAAATTGACATTGTGAAGTCCTGCCAAGTAGTTCCTCTTGCCTTATGGGGGTTGGGGGTGGGGGTATGGAACACTTGGAGGAAGTGGGAAGTTGGATAAGGGCTCAGGGATCAAGAGTTGGTTCAGCAGGGACTGTTGAGACATATTCATTCTTTCAAGTTTAAGTGCTTCCTTAATATCAACCATGACAAGCCTTGTGTTAAGCCTGTGAACGCTGAACTCATTGGGCTGTATTGGTGTTGTTATTGCTGGATTTATTCTTTAAAGTAGGTGTTTCTGTAAAGGATAACCAGGCTACAGTCCATAGCCCCAGAGAGGCTAGGTAACAAGGAGGGCCCAAGGGGTGGGGCACGTGGATCTTCCTGGGAAGGGGAAATAGAAGAGCTCTCCTAGGTGGACTGGGTAGGGGTGGAGGGTAGGGATAGGAGCTTGAAGGATCCAGTTGGGTGGTGGATGGAAGGGGAGAGTACTAAAAGCGAAACTGGAAAAGGCCGGGAGGTGGGAGCATTTTGGGGTCAGGTAGAAATCTAATGCAAGGGAAACTCCTAGGAATCTACAAGGATGCCCCAGCTAAGACTCCTAGCAATAGTGGATGCATAGCCTTAGCCTGAACTTAACATCGCCTGTGATCAGATTGGTGACTACCACAATTGTCATCAGAGAGCCTTTATCCAATAACTGATAGAAACAGATGCAGAGACCCACAGCCAAACATTAGGCTGAGATCATGGAATCCTGCTGAAGAGAGGGAGGAAGGATGGTAGGAACCAGAGGGGGTCAAGGACATCACACGAAAACCCACAGAAACAATTAACTTGGCTCACTGGAACTCAGAGTCTGAACCAACTACCAGGGAACCTGCATGGGACTGTCCTAGGCCCTCTACATATATGTGACAGCAATGTAGCTTGGTCTTCTTGTCGGACTCCTAACATTGGAAGCAGGGCTGTCCCTGGGGCTTTGCTGGCTCTTGGGAACCTGTTCCTCATGCTGGATTGCCTTACCCAGTGTTAATACAAGGGAAGGTGATTAGTCTTACTGCAACTTGATATGCCGAGCTTTGTTGATACTCATGGGAGGCCTGCCCTTTTCTAAACAGAAACAGAGGGGAAGTAGACTGAAGGGGAGGGCAAAGAGGAGGTGAGGGGAGGGAACAGGAGGAGAGCAGAGAGGTCAGGATTTAAAATAAATTAAAAAAATTTTAAAGTGAATTTTTCAAATGATCATACACAGACATGCCCACCTCAAAGGGATGGGGTAAGAGTGACTCACATCGGCTTCCAGGTGATGAACCTGTGGCCCCAGAGCATTAATCACTCGCTTAACATCATACAGCAGCAGGTTAGTACCAGAGCTGAACTAGGCACCAGGTCACATGACCTTCAAACCAGGCTTTTTGTGCCCCCTCTGGGGACTCCATCCTGGGTTTCTGGCAGCACCCTCAAATCCCCCCCATAGGCAAGTCGAAAGGAAGGGAAGAGGTTTACATCAAGTATCTCTGAGCTCCTATGCGTGGCATTTCCTCTAGGTTGTATCTTTGCTCTCGCAGCTAGACAACAACCATCTTGTTCAGAGAAAGAAGTAGAAGCTGGGAGTGTGTGGATGCTGTAGACACTGGCCGGTGTGAGGCTGAACTGCAACCCGCCTTTCTCCAAAGCTTGTATAGTTTCCATTATACCAGAAGGCTTCCACCAATGGTCCAGTGAATAACTATCTAAGCAGATTAATTAATTGATAAGTGCACGAGCACCTGCTGTATGCCTGTCTGGGCCCTGGAGCTTCTGGGACACAGGCGCTGAAATACAATTATCCACCAGGACATGACAGTACAGCCAGAGAAGTGAGAGTAACTCGCCAGACAATTACAGAAAAAGCCAAACGATAGGCATGTAAATTCTAAGGAAACAGCCTGAATTTACTGCAAATAGTACACAGGGTTCATTACTTTGTAGACGATGGTGCAACGCCAGACCTGAAAGTCCGCGGCGTTAACAGGCTTCCCTGAGAATGCCATAGCACCATCAGGACAGCAAGTGATAAACAGAGCAAGACATCAGCTGAAAGAAAAACAAAGCATTCTGCAGGGGATGCCTGTGGATTCCTACAGGAGGCCCTGAGACTCAACATGCTAGCTTCAGGCAGTCTTTGTGCTCTGTCTACGGTAGTACCTTGAGTAGCTAGGGTAGTGCTCCATCACTAGACATTCAAGGATGCGGATAGAATGAATGACTGCGTGAGTGAGTGATGTGTGGTTAGACCTCAGAGGACCTTAGGGAGGAAACAGTTCCTATCTCTCCCACGTCTGACTGATGATTGCTTTCTTCGGTACTGGAAAAGCTACCCTAGAATACCACTCCCGTCTATAGCATCCAAACCCTATACCGATGTTCCGAGCCTCAATAGTCACTAGGGTGTGCTAGAAGGAGCATCTGAGTTGGAATCAGAAAAACTAGATCCCATTCACATCCTGTTACTCTTCAGACACAAATCAGTTTCCACCATCAACACTGGCAGAGACTCTAGCATGAACCACATTTACTTCTCAGAACCCATGCTAATGATGGATCACATGTAAGAGAAAAGCAGAAGGGGGTGCTAACTGTGGGGAAAGAACCAGATGGGGGAGGGGTTAAGAATAATAGGGGAGGGTGTTAGCATTATTGTTTATAGAAAACACACCAGCTCAGGCAAACTAGGAGGGTGGGAATCCTACATAGCAAAGTGTCTACAGAATGGGCATAAGATTCTAGAAATCTAAACCCCAAGGCCTCTGCCCTGTGCGGTTCTGCATCCCCATGTGGATAACTTTTCAGCATGCTTACCTCAGTACAAAGAGAAACCAGTTTGCCTCCAAGGGACGATGATTAGTCGTTCATCCTCCTGAGAGTAGCACCTCCCATCATTCCCAGTGTGCATGCTCCAAGCTCTATTTGACCAGGACCTCTAACAACCTGGACCCTGTTACCTGGTAGAAGGCACAGAAGTAGACCCATGAATAGATAAATGCCCAGCTAAGGTGACTATGCCTGCCCTCTTTGGAAGGGTAGGCATAGCTTCTTGGAAATAGCTGGCCGGGCCTGCAGGACACATGGTGGTAGTTGATTTTAGTTCCAGGAGCTTGTCTTAGGCACATGATGGTAGTTGATTTCATCAGCAGGATTTTAGTTAAGAATGCCTGGTGACCAGTGCCATGGGTTCCAACATCTATTAAGCCACTGCCCATTTTCCGTTCTCTCCCTACAGACTGATACAGAATACCAAAAACCTGGTAAACATCGAACCCGGTGCTTTTACAAACCTCCCTCGATTGAAATACCTGTGAGAAACTTTCTTTTTAAGCCTTTGTAGAGGGGAAGATGGGTAGCTGGTGAAACTGGAAGTGATCAAAACGCTGAAGATTTTTATTTTGTTTCGTTTTTGAAATCACGTGTATATGTGTGGGTTTGCATATGAGTGGAATGTCCACAGAGGCACAACGAGGACTTCAAATCCCCTGGAGCTTAGTTACAGGAGGTTGTGAGCTGCCTGACATGGGTGCTGGGAATTGAACTCTGGTCTTCTGGAAGAGCAGCAAGCATTCTCAACCACTTAGCCCCTGAGCCAGTCCCTTGAAGAACTTTTTTAACCTACAGACAACACTGTTAGCATGTCCCTCCTTACTAGCCTTCTCATTTAAATATAATGGGTGTTTCTTCTTTGTTGCCATGCTGGGAGTTTTCACACCTATGTAAGTGACTCCCAATATTCCCTCTGCCCCACACACCTGAGGAGAACATCACCCCTGTGCAGTGGTTTTCAAAGCTGGAAATGGGAATGGGGTGGAGGGTGATTCACAACACTTCATAAAGGACAAATCAGAGCTTCAAAGGTGAGTGACTGCAAATAAAGCTGGGAGAAGTGGTTCCAGTTTGATTTCTCCCATTGCATGACGGGAATTTCCTCTCTTTGCTCCCCTTTGTTCATTCTTTCATCAAGGGAAAACTTTCTAAGTATTGCCTGAGGCAGACACTGTACCACATCAGCTCAACCATTTTGCATACCCCACTAAATCCAACCAAAGTCTACTGGTTAGGCTGACAAGCTGAGTCCCACCATAGCCCAAACAGCAACCAGCCCCACCAGTAATGTGAAATTGCTAAAATTTCCCAAAGTCTATAGCTACATGACAATGAATCTTCCCACATAACAAGTCATCCCTACCACACAGAAAAGTTGCCACCATCACTTAAGTGAGGAGGAAAAAAGAAGGCGGAGGATGAGGGAAGGGAGTACTCTGTGATGCCCTACACCATCAGCCTTGATCCCAGATGCCATGCAGAAGCTGCACCTGGCTGAGGTGTAGTTTGTCCTCCATGGATAATTATAAATATTGTAAGCCCAAGCGCTGTGTTTCCCATCCTCCGGGGGAGCATGGGCGCATAAGTGTCCGCCACTTTAGAAGGCATTAAGGATAACCCAGTCAAAAATTTGACCAGCAGAGCCTCTTGTTAGCCTGTTGTCTTTATCAGTTTTTCATAACAAAAAGTGGAAGTCCCCAACCCAAGTCCACGCTGCAGTCTGAGCCTCCTGCTAACCTCTGTGCAGTCAAGGTGTGGAGTCACTGTGAACACCTTTGTCCCATTTGCACATCCATTCAAATGACTTAACAGTAACGTGGAGAGAAACCCAGCTGTGTTTTATTGTCAGCAGAGTGCCACACAGCTCCTCTCAGTTGTCCAGAACCTGTGTCTGCCGTGTCTTAAACTTCACTGGGGCTAGTCCAGGCTCCTGCACACCTCTGAGGGAAACTCATTCTTTTTTTTCTCTTTTTTCTTTTGGTTTCTGGAGACAGGGTTTCTCTGTGTGGCTTTGGAGGCTATCCTGGAACTAGTTCTTGTAGACCAGGTTGGTCTCGTACTCACAGAGATACTCCTGCCTCTGCCTCCCGAGTGCTAGGATTAAAGGCATGCGCCACCACCACCTGGAGTCTCATTCTTACAATGAAATATTTGTCAATGTCATGTAAGCCCATCTCTTTTTCAGAGGTTAAATAGAAGGCAGGAGCCTTAACTATCTCCAAACACAAAAACAACAAACGTTCAGTGGTTCCAATGAGACACAAGGAAGAACTTCCTGAACCACAAAGTAACTAAATAGAGTTTCTAATAAGGAAAGTTATAGGTTTCTCATAAAATAAGTCTTCCTGTGCCAGGCAGTAGTGACAAACACCTTTCATCCCAGCATTCAGGGAGGCAGAGGCAGGCGGATCTCTGTGAGTTTGAGGCCACCCTGGTCTACAGAGCGAATTCCAGGACAACCAGAGCTACACAGAAAAACCCTGTCTCGAAAAACAAAACAAACTAACAAAAAAGATTTTCCTGCAATGTTTGAGTTAAAACCCCACCTCAAAGGAGAAGGTTCCTTTCTGGAGTTATCAACAGCATAGACTAAAGTAGTCATCAGAAGGAAATGACTGCAACCCAACAGGAAAATGCAATGCCTTTAAATGAAAGATGGGCTAGAAATACAAAGACAAAACACCTGCAAGCTTGCTGGGTCTCAGCCCCTAAAGCTCAAAACAGAAACCATTACAGAAACTTCAGCTGGCAATGGAGCCTTTGAAATTCTGACCGTCTTCATCAGCTAAAAGTGTACCTCATAAAGCCAAACCCAGTATTCTAAAATTTAATGTGAACGTAGTGTCTGCAATGTGCTTTCTATTCATGGCCTAATGACAATCGCCTGTCCTCTCTGCCCGCGTCACCACCTTGCCCTGAATCCTAGGAGCATCTGTAACACAGGCATCCGAACCCTTCCAGATGTTACGAAGATCTCCTCCTCCGAATTTAATTTCATTCTGTGAGTATCAGGCTGATTGCTACGCATAATCGTTGTCTATTTGCAGCTAAAATTTGGAAAGTAAATATTTCTCATTTCTTTCCTCAAGGGAAATCTGCGATAACTTACACATAACCACCATACCAGGAAATGCTTTCCAAGGGATGACTAACGAGTCCGTCATACTGTAAGTAACACCCTGGCTTCTTACTCTGCCACACTGTCTGCTCTGCAGTTCTCACTTCCTGTTTGAGGGGCCTCACCACGTTCTTTACTCTCTGGTGACAAGGCTCTTCTTAACCTAGACTGCCAACGGTGGGACAAGTTGCATAGGATAGCCGCAGGGTCTTGTGCTCGTATGACTACTAAACCAAGAGTTCGGTTTAGCTTTGAACAGATGGGTCCTGGGGTTTGGCGGTGTTGACTTCCAATTGATGAAGGTCTTCCCTGCACAAGGGCAAGTCTCTAAGGCCAGGCCTTTATTCAAAGATCAAAATATAAAACTGCCGGTAGTTTTGACCTAAACTCAATCAGGAACCGAGAGTTACTCCTTTCGGGTATATGGGTATGATGGGAATGGAGCCAAGCAGGAGGGAAAGGACATGTTGGGACAATCCTTGGGGATCTGAGCTCCCAGCGAGCCCTATTCCATAAGGCTTGATAGTGCATGAATGCAAAGGGGCTGCTTGGCATTGGTTTCACGGGGCTGTTAACTTCCTTGCTTGTGATCCGGAGAGCGGTAGAGCACACAAGTCGGGAGTGATTTGCACCTCCGAAGTTAATGGGGACTTGGGGATCTATTCCTCCCAGAGCGCCTGTGGACCATTGTGCTCTATCCCCCTCCCTGTTCTTGGCCCTTCATCTCCCAGGGCTGTGACTAGTCATTTGCTTGGCACTTGCTCTCAGTTGAATGGGCCCTTGTGTAGATGAAGGGCCGTGTGGAGCTCCCTGCTGAATAAAGGGTGTTACACTTGCCCAGGAAAGCCTTATTGTCCCCAGCTATAAAGTTCAACTCCTTAATTAGAAAACACTGAAAGCAAGCCTTCTCTTTTCATTATTAGCAGGATTTGCAGGTTTGCTCTTGGTGGAACTGGTCTGGCCCTCCCGCTACCCCAAATCTTCACCAACTGTGAGCTCATTGAATAAAAACAAAACACTTCAAGGCATGCAGGAAAAGCTCTGAGGGGCTAAGGCTAAAACTGTGCTTTGTATTCATATGTCCCTTCAGGGCCACTGTGACTGTTCATTAAATGCCCTCTAGGGGCCATTGACATATGCCCACCCCTCCTGCACTTAGCTGTATAGCCTTTAAAATATTCTGGATGACGGATGGGTCCAACCAAACTCACAAAACAAACAACCTTGATTTACACTTGAACTCCACGGCAACTCCTTTTCCCAAGACTCTTGGGAGTAGGACCTTGCAAAGTGAGACAGGATCCTTGGCTGCACCTATGACAAAGCCACAATACAAAGGCAACTGGGTGTGTGTTGTAAAAATGTCTAGGTTTACCCTGTAACGAGACACAAACCGTGACCCAATGATCCCACGTGGAGTTTTATTGGTAGACAGGGAGGGAAAGGGGGTGAGAGGTAACCAACCCGTGCAGAGATGAGAGAGAGAGAGAGAGAGAGAGAGAGAGAGAGAGAGAGAGAGAGAGAGAGAGAGATGAGAGGAAGAGAGAAGATGAGACGGAGAGGAAGACTAGAGTAAGAGAGAGCATAAGAGGGCAGGGGTCAGTCCTTTAAAGGGGTCCTTTGCACCTGCATGGTTCTCACAGAATTCTGGGCTGGCCAGAGTGCTGCCTGAGTGCATCTTGCCAGGTAACAGGGTAGGCCAGAATAATGCCTGAACCTTTCAGTGTGGAGTTTCAATGTTAGCCCCAGCTCTAGGTGTAGCCAAGCAAGCAGCCTCAGTCAGTTTGGGCCTAGAAAGCCAGGCCCCATCTCCGTTCAGCGGGATTATGAATGCCTCCTTGTGCAGATCCAATCACACTGTGTCCACTACACAGCCACCACGAGTGCCACAATTAACCGCAGTTAGCAGCTAAAAACTAACAACCCAGAGAAAGTCAGTTGTCAAGAGGCCGTCTCCAATAGCTCGGCATGTTTTAAATGTTTGGATTTTGTTGATGTTGTTCTAGTTTGATTTTCTGTTGCTGTGATGAAACACTCTGACCAAAAGCAATTTGGGGGAGTAAGGGTTTATTTTATCTTACACTTCCAGGTCTCAATCCATTATTAAGGGAAGTCAGAGCAGGAACCTGGAAAAGAAGCCATGGAGCAATACTGCTTGTCAGCTTGTTCTCTGGCTCATTCCCAGGCCTATGCTCCAATAGCCTCAGTGTACAGCCCAGGCCCACCTATCTAGAGATGGCCTTGCCCAAGGGGGCTTGGCCCTCCTACTCAACTATCAATTGAGACCATGCCCCCTAATGCCCACAGACCTATCTGATCTAGGCAATTCCTCAGGGGAGTCTTCCTCTTCCCAGGTACTCCTCCCCTTTGCTTTCTATTGCAAGCACGGCAACCAAAAGTAACTCGGGAAGGGAGGAGTTTATTTGGCTTACCCATCCCAGTCAATCTATGAGGGAAGTTGGGAAAGGAAGCCAAGCAGGCCCAGAGGCAGGAGCCTTGAAGGAACAGATTTTCTTTAAGCTTCGAGTCTAGTTTACGCACTCACAGAGCTGTCTCAGTGCTTTCTTCTGTTCAGCTAGGCTCTGGATCTTTCTAGAAACTCAGGCCATCTGATTGCATTGCTGTGACTGGATTCAGCCCAGACATTGCCAGGGTGGCGCGGCAAGGGCCATATTGTGTCTCTCTTGCTGCACCAATCCAGCAAATACTCCATGTCATACTGTCTTGCGGCTTGGCCGCTCGCTTCAGGTGTGATACTTTCCACTTGTGCCTTCCAAGTCACCTGTATTGGGATTCTGTGACTTGTGACACACCACTGGCCACACATTTCAGCACCTGTTGTTCCTTTAGAACTACAAAGAGAATTCCACAATGGTTATTTGTACATTCCGTCACTCTTCTGTAATGATCGCCCCACGTTTCTATCCTTAAAGGGGAGTTCCTTTGCCATTATTTCTCCCGCATGCTCTCTCTTGGGCTCCCTGTCTGTGTGTTTTTAAGTATTACTTGGAATACTTAAAATATCAGCCACATTAGAATCCATTACTGTCATCTTCCTTTCTGAAGCCTTCCGTCTTCTTGAGTGCGGCATACGGTGAAGTCAACCTAAGTTGACATCTGTTTGACTGAGGTGGTGGGAAAACAGCTCAGCTCTGCTGAAAGGCAGGAGGCTCAGGCAGCTCAGAGACTGGGAGAGCCACAGAAATGCAGGTCCCTGCAGACCCAAAGCAGGCTTACAGCAGCTATCCACACAGCCCTGCCAGGACATGCACTGGAAAATGGGCTTGTCCACAAGGACCTATCCAGATTATAAAAACAAACAAACAAACCTGCAGCCACCCCGGAGACAACGTGTCAGTGTGCGGGTTCCTCTTCTTCAGGGTGCTTTCCTGTGGTCATTTGGTCTAATAGAAAGAGAGACAGCAGAGAGGGAAGGGGAGAGAGAGAGGGAAGAAAGAGAAAAAAGTTGCTTACAAGCATTCCACCAGCAGGCAGAGTCCTAAATTGCCATGCATTGTCTTTCCACAATAGGGCCACTCTTTGAGATCCTGATGATCTGCAAACATAATCTTTCTTCTTTGAAATCAGCCAAAAGCTAGGTGGCCACATGATCAAGAGAATGCCTAACACTGTTAATACAAGCCCAGAAGTCTGTGCGGCACCCAGGGATTATTCAAAGGGGAAGGCAGCATTCAGAAGTACAGTATCGCCTGTGATTAATTTCTAACTCCCGAATCTTTCTTGGATTAAAAGACGCCGCTCTTTCTGTTTGGTTCGCAATTACTGGTATCTGAATAGAGAACCCAGACAATGCTACTGCAACAGAGAGGCAAGGGGGACCTATGTCTCATCTCTGTGCCAAGGAAGCTCCCCGCTCCTTTCATTCTGACACCAGGAGATTTGGGGAAAACAGTGTCTGCAGTGACTTTCCAGATGTTTTCAAAGGCGTTGAAGGCATTGTGCGAGCCTGACAGCACGAGGCCTCCCACTCACATTCACAAATTTTGCAACCCAAGGCAGCATTTTCCATTGTACACTGCTGGTGAGGACAGAGACAAGTTGCTACTGCAAGGAAAGCAGGGAGCCACAATCCAGAAAATTCCAACAAGCATGACCCAGAAGATTAAAAAATAAATAAGCCATGAAAGAAGTACGTAACAGTAACCCAGACAGAGAGGGGAGACTGGGATCTTGTAAAGGGAGATCTCTCTGCTGCAATCGGGGGCTCGAGGCTACTTCTAGATGATTGACATATGTTTGCCCACAACAGCTTTAGAGGGTTGACACTATTATTATGATCTCATTTTGTTTTGGATGAATAAATTGAGACATAAGAGCTTAAATTAGTTACTCAAAGTAATTCAGCTTGTAAGAAGCAGAATGCGATTGAATCCTGGGCAGTTGGGATCAATACCTACAGACTTAATCACAAGCCACATTCCCAGCCCTGGCTCTACGAGTCCAGTGAAGAGGGACAAGATCCTAACACGTATCAAGATTGAAATCACAGGTTGGAGAGATGGCTCAGCAGTTAAGGCTGGTCTTCCAGAAGACCAGGGTTCATTTCTCAGCACACACATGGTGGCTCACAACTGTCTGTAACTCTAGTTCCAGGGGATCTCATACCTTCATCTGGTCTCTGTGGACAACAGGTACTCAGACATACATGGGTGAAACAACCATACATACAAAATAATAGTAAAAAACAATAATTAAGCTAAAATAAACATAGCAAACCACAGCAAAGGGGAAGGGGCTTCCAGGCAACTACAAACAGCTTTGCTTAGCTAAAAGCCCAGGAAGGAATGCTTTGTCTTGACCCATCAGAGATGCAACGCCACCACTTTGAGTAGAGGAAGCGGTAGAAAGACTAGACTGTGGACTAGACTAGATGTGATTGCCACCACAGAAAATACCCATCACACTGCAATAGACTCTGTTTCCCAGCCCGGTACAGTGGGGTTGGGTTGCACATGCATGGGGACCAAGTCTCCATTTCTGAGAATCAAGGTCCTGTGATTCTGCTTAGGTGGGTAGTGGCATCTGCTTCGACAAATACTGGCCTAGACTCTGAAAACTAAGATTGCAGAGTTGCTCGGAGGAGGCACGGGTGTGGCTCTTTCATTGAGCAGTTACCTATAAAAGAACCCCTGCCATGACAGGAGATGGACGAGAACAATATTCTAAGTATTACAGTCTTCAAAAGGTCCCGTGGGACTCAGCTGCCAAGAAGACGAGAAAGCCGAATGTGATCACCCAAAATGACAGGTCTGAAAGGACCTATCCCCTTATATTTTACCCTAGAAAAAGGTGGGGGAAACAATTGGAAAATGGCATCCAACAGTCTAATTATACAAATCACATCTGTATACAGAAAAGAAACCCAGAAGTCAGAGAGGGCTCTCTTCACCATGGATGCTAAAGCTGATGGCTCCTAATAGGGCCCTGAGCATTCAAGGCTCCAAGTTTGGTGGGGGTGTGGGGACTAACCACTGTATATTTAATGTGCAGGTTACGGAACACTGTGCGATATTTCAATAGTATAAGCAACATATACCAATCAGGCCAGGGGAATTAGCATTGTCATTTCTTCATTGTTTCTCTGTGTTTAGAACCTCTATGTTCCTTCTTCCTAGTTCTGATTTTGATAGAATGATTCTCTCTCTCTCTCTCTCTCTCTCTCTCTCTCTAAATTCAGTCTAATGAGGAGGCCTTGGGGACTACTTTGTAATCTGTAATTTAGGTTTCCTGAGTTTTGTAGTTGAAGCTTCATACTTCAGCATGAATGCCACCTCTGCTTCTTTGTCAAAAGCTTGGGGTGGTTGATGGAAAGAAATGACACATCCGCACACTACATACATGAACATACAGGGGGAGGGGGACGTCTGTGTTAGCCTGAATTATCAAACTAGAGAAACCCTGAGGGTATCAGTTCTCTGTGGTCAAAAGCTTGGGGTGGTTGATGGAAAGAAATGACACATCCGCACACTACATACATGAACATACAGGGGGAGGGGACGTCTGTGTTAGCCTGAATTATCAAACTAGAGAAACCCTGAGGGTATCAGTTCTCTGTGGTCAAAAGCTTGGGGTGGTTGATGGAAAGAAATGACACATCCACACACTACATACATGAACATACAGGGGGAGGGGGACGTCTGTGTTAGCCTGAATTATCAAACTAGAGAAACCCTGAGGGTATCAGTTCTCTGTGGTCAAAAGCTTGGGGTGGTTGATGGAAAGAAATGACACATCCGCACACTACATACATGAACATACAGGGGGAGGGGGACGTCTGTGTTAGCCTGAATTATCAAACTAGAGAAACCCTGAGGGTATCAGTTCTCTGTGGTGGGAGTGGGTGTCTCAGAGCAGGTGTCTGTTCCATTCTTAAAGTCCTCTGCTCCCACACCTGCCAACACTAGAAAGGACATCGTAGTCTTGCAGACAGGCTGAGTTCAACGACATCACACCATGGCCTTTTCTCACTCAGGCGTTGTTTCATGGCTCACAAGAGCTGACACAGATATTGACATGTAGGACGGTGGCTCTCAAATGTGCTTGGTTATGACTGATAGCAAGACATCTTCCGCTGACCCATTCTGTGTAACACATTTATTGTAATGCTCTGAATTCCAGCAGTTGATCAGGATTCAGGAGAGTCTGCAAAGAATGCCATGGTTTGAAATCCTAGTTGTTGTGACATTATGCTCTGCGGAAAGAGGGAGACAAGGAGTAAAGCGTTTCTTGTTACATGGTGACAAAGTTAGGAAAGAAAGACACGTCGGGGAAGGCCAATATGAAGGATTGGGAATGAGGGGTTAGAATTTTAAACAGGAAGACCGCATTGAACCCAGCCTGTTAGAAGAAGGCTGAGGATGTCTTAAAGTATGGGGAGTGTAGAAAAGAAACAGTGGGCAACACTGATGTACTGAAAGCAGCCTCAGACAAAGTGTTCACTGGTACTATCCTTGCCACCCACCCTGCCTGAGGCTGTTTCCTTCCTCGTAAGACGAAGGGGTCTAAGTGAGCCTTGCTAGGTTTCTTTTTGGTGCTGGAACTTCTCAAGCATGGCTGGAAACTGCAGTTTCTTATTTCTCAATCTAGGCAGGGGTGTATGTGTGTGTTTGTGTATGTGTTGTGTGTTCTATGTATGGGGGTTGTTTTATAGATACCCTATATAATGGTGGAACAAAATTTGTAAACAGTCACACCTTAAAAGCTGACAATATTCTCCCAACACTTTTCCCTTGCTCTATTCCGATTCACTCTTTTTAATGCTGGTTGTATTCAACTACGTTGATTTCACTGTCCACTAATGGGACTTGAAGAACTGTTTGCAGACATTTAGATCTTTGGGGCTATGGAGCCAGTTTTGGCATTAAAAAAAGAAAAGAAAAACCATGAGCACACACACAGAAATACAGAGCAGGTGACTCAGCCCTGCAGCTTTGCTCAGCAGCCCACGAAAGCCCACAACACCCAGGGCATTCTGAGCTGGGCTGGCAGCTAAGCCTTGAATCCCAGCTCTGCTCCTGCATCCAGTAACCATAATCCCAACTGCACCGATGCCGGCCTTTCTTATCACTATAATGGAAGCAATGACCATGAGAAGCAAATCAGAAGACAGGCATGTCAGGGCCGGTCAAGTAAACGTTCCGTAAGTTGGTGACGGTGATGGAGCAGGCAGAAGAAAGCCAAAAAGGACAGCTTCCCCCCACCATGCGCCTCCAGAGTCCAGAATGCCAGACAGACAGCTAGCTGTTCCGAATGCCAGTGGTTATCTTAGCAGTAAATGTCACAGGAGGCCAAATGTCTGCTTCCAAACTGTGCTTCTGTCGGCTCCTTCCCATCCCTAAACCCTCTCTCCCCCCTCCTCCAGCAAACTGTACGGAAACGGATTCGAAGAAGTACAAAGCCACGCATTCAATGGGACGACGCTCATCTCGCTGTAAGTGTATGCTTATTTCCCCTGCTTGTGAATAAAGATGAAGTATTGCTCTGGCTACCAGATCACATTCAATCTTCAGCAACTAACTCAGGGCAAAAATAAACTTTCAAGTGGCTAGTCCTCCGAGTTGCACGAGTGTTACTAGGCAACCGGCTGGCTGGAAACCCCAGAGCACCCTGATTTCAAAGACAGAAGCAGCCTCCATGCATTGAAGTTGACAGTTTGTTGAAATATTCAACACCCTACTTTGTGCCTCCTCCGTCTTGCAGCTCCCTTCTCTAGCCCCCTCGGAGAGGCTGATGGTGTGTTAGAGGAAGGCTATTTCGGGAGACTCTTCCCCAGACCCCACTGCGGGGGGAGGGGGAGGAGGGAAATGGGGTGACACCATTTATCAGGTGACACCATTTACCAGCCTGATCAGCCGCCTCAGCTTCACTCACCCACCTCACCCCTGCTCTCCTCCTGGTTCTTCCGCACTCCAGTCCAGGGCGGGGATGTGTGATCACTCACAATAAAGGATGCGGCTCTGCCCACTCAGTAGTCACAAACAGCAAGCACCTGAAAAGCTAAACCGCAGGTAAAGTTAATGAAGACAAACAACAAGGCTTTTAAAATAAATGAGTTAGTAGTCAGTGAGGTGGCATGGAGAGGGGAGAGGCTTTGCCCCCAAGCCTAACTACCTCATAGAGGGAGAGAATTGACTCCCAGAAGTTGTCCTCTGATCTCCACACATGCGCCATGGCACGGGCATGTTTTCTCTCACACACAGATACGTGGATGGATGGATGGATGGATGGATGGATGGATGGATGGATGGAGAGACAGTGAGATGATAGGTACATATATAAATGAATAACTAAATGTAACAGAACACTTAATGAAACTGTTTGGCACATGATTTGCACCAATAATTTGCAAACATTAACACATGTAAGAATCACCTGGGGATGGTTAAGGCAGTCTCCTGAGCCCCACCTATGCTGGCTTTGCCTTGGGGAACCTCAAAAGCACTGAGAATTTGCACTTTTGACAAGCCCCCAGAAGACCCTGATGCATCAAGGTCTCAGGCTAAGAGGCTCAGGTCGATAAAATATGCTAATAATTTTTAGCTATGACTCTTAAACCAAGGAGCCCGCTGTGCTGATGTCATCTGTACAGTTGCACACTTTAGGCAAGGCCTAAGGATCGCTGTAGCTGGGTCTGGATTCCAACTCACTATCAAGTTGCATCGCCTTTTGAACGAGTCAGGACCAAGCCACAGTGTCCTTGTTCATAAGGCAAAGCTTCCAGTAGACTGACGTTGAGGATTGACCCAACAGAATGAAAGGGTCTACTTTGCACCCTTAGTACTTGGTTCAATGCCTGGTACTAAGTGCTCCTTGATTAAGTTTATCCCATGATTCATGTGAACGAATGAATGAAGATTTTTATGCACTCAGCTCAGGGTCTAGGTCCTACCAAGCACTGAAGAAATGGGAGTTGTAAAAGCATTGTCCTCATGGAGGGGATTTTCACATTGTCTTGTTGACTTGACAGTTGCATATATAAAGAGTTCATTAATAAGAAGCCCAAGATTAGGTCGGAAGCATCCCAGCCTCTCTGGTCCACTCCCAGAGGCCTCATTCCATTATCCACTCAACATTATTCATCAGACTCTACTGAAGGGCATGCACTGTATTCCAGAAGAGAGAAAAGTGCATAAGCTATGAACTGAAGGATTTACCCACGGGGGCTCACAGCATGGGGAACGGCAGCTCCAAATGGTGTGCGAACTCTACTTAATGCGTGACTCCAACAGAAGGCAGGGCGGTGCGCCTGCCCTGAGTGCCAGCAAGTCCTCCAGGATTTCAGAGGCAGGGGAAGGTGTTACAGAGTATGCACATTGGGGGCGTGGACTTTGAGCCAGGCTAGTGCGGACAGGCAAAAGTAGAAGGAAAACGTGTCCCAGGCAGGGATCAGGGAGATGGATGGCGCGCAGATGGGATGCATTCAGACTGGCAAATGTCAGAACTTCTGGAATGTGAGGGTCAAAACAAGAATGTTCTTCCATTAGCAGAAAGGACCGAGACTGGAGGAGCAGGACAGGGCTGAGGTAGAGATACTGGGATCTTCCCAAGAGAGACGGAGCCGGAAGTCCTTTGTGACTTCAGCCCCCTGATGAGGGCTGTGATCGGTCCCGGTGCACAGCCGCTGAGACTGTACACCGCAGAGGACCAGATGAGATTATGAAGAGAACCGCTTGGAAGGAGCCTTGCTCTTGTTTGGTATGTGGCTTTTGACAACGGCTGAGGCCTCCAAGGTCACAGCAACTCAGAGTCAGATAAGGCGCAGGCTGCACTGTAACCCAGTAGCCTTGGACTTGCCAAGGAGGAGTGTTTTAATCCTCCCCCAAGCCGCCTGGTAGCAAGTTCTTGCAAACCCAACAGGAAGGACCGAATCCATTAAGCCACAGGACAAAGGGTTTCACCAAGTGATGGGATAGGACAATTTCACAATTTCACCAAGGACGCCCATCTTTCTTCCAGTCTGCCTGCCCCTCCCGTTCCCCCTCTGCCACACCACACCATGCACACAGCCTAGTTTGAGCATGCGTATATGTGGCTATGGGGGTTGATGTGAGGTGCAGACCTGACTAACACAACTGTCTTTCCACACAGGGAGCTAAAAGAAAACATACACCTGAAGAAGATGCACAGTGGAGCCTTCCAGGGGGCCACAGGGCCCAGCGTCCTGTGAGTACAGGGGTGCAGCCTCCTCTCCGACACAGTGCACCCTAACAGCCCTGTCTGGTGGCCAGACACATCACTGGCAGCCTGGCTTGCAGGCTGCCAGCATCTATAGCTGAAAAAGACCAAATGTGTTAGTGTTGTTGTGCTGACATGAGACACTGCCTGTGACAAAGCCACATATTTGTAGGGGTAGCCCCACATTTGTAGGGGGTAGTCCCATGTTTGTAGGGGGTAGCCCCACGTTTGTATGGGGTAGCCCTGTATTTGTAGGGGTAGCCCGGTATTTGTAGGGGGTAGCCCCACGTTTGTATGGGGTAGCCCTGTATTTGTAGGGGTAGCCCCGTATTTGTAGGGGGTAGCCCCACGTTTGTAGGGGTAGCCCCACGTTTGTAGGGGTAGCCCCACATTTGTAGGGGGTAGCCCCATGTTTGTAGGGATAGCCCCACATTTGTAGGGGGTAGCCCCATGTTTGTAGGGGTAGCCCCACATTTTAGGGGTAGCCCCACATTTTAGGGGTAGCCCCACATTTGTGTGGGGTAGCCCCACATTTTTAGGGGTAGCCCCGTATTTGTAGTAGGTTGCAGCAGGTTTGGTGTCTCTGAGGGAAGACGGTGTTCAACCTCTCTCTCATCTACTGAGGGCCGCTCTGGATGTGCAGCATAACCCCAGTCTCTATGTATTATTGCCATCGTTGTCTGTGCTTTAGGGTCTGTCTTCTTATTAATTTAATTCCCCCATCTTAGTAAGATACAGGCATAGTGGATTATGGCTTACCTTACCATCACTGCCTCATTCGATTTCAGTAAAGAGCCTGTGTCCAAATAAGGTATTCTGAAGTCCTAGCCAAAAAGATAACAACATGTAAATTTCAGGGGCCATAATTCAACCAGTAACACAAACTGGGGTGTGGTTTCATGTGCCCATTCTGACCTGGTCCAGCCCAGCCCTTGGTTAGCCCTAGGTCTTCCTACATCAGTGGAAGGAGTGAGCCTTCAACCCTCCGTGAATGGGGGTTCACTCACTGCAAGGGCTTGTTCAGAGAAAAGGCTTCTCCAAGCAGAGCTGAGAGACCCTCAGGACTGTGCGTGGAAGCACAAACACGTGGTAGGCAGTTTAATAACGTGGCCGTTTAGTAAAAATCACAACAGTAGGTGCCATTTTGGGGCTGATGGCTTCCCCAGCTATGTGAGGTGCTGATTTCAAATGCCACCACTCAAAAACTGAACGACAGTAACCTCCACGTCTAGGAAGAGTCTGGAACCTGATCACTAACTATCCATAGGACAATACAGTAAACCAGCAAGCACACAGAAGCAGGAGGGAGACCCTTGGGGCGAAGCCTCCTGCGACCACTGTGTCCCCAGGAACCTGTACCCTTGTCCCCAGTGCCGTCCCACTCACTCACACCTTTCCCTCCATGTGCTGAGTCCTGAGCGAGCCTCACACGGGGCAGACTGTTGAAGAGGAAGAGCTGCCTGGAAAGGTCAGGGCATTAGCCACTTAGCATTCGAGGGAGCAGGATTCTAATACAAAAAAACTGCCACCAACTCCCTACTCCCCAAGTTTTGTACATCTGGGGGTTTTCTTAGATTTCTGCCTTGAGTCTAGGAAAGCCAAGGAGCTTTGTTTAAAGGCATGGACAGGCCTGGTGCACAATTGTGCTGGCTTGGTATCACGCTTACTTGCTGTGAATGGACACATCCAATTGGTTATTAGAGCGTGTGCGCAATGTTTCCTGGGTAGATGATGGCTAATGCCACACGCGGCTCTTCACAGGGTGGTCCGCCTGCGCTTTATGAAAACCTCCCCTGCGGCCTTGTTTGATCAGTCAAAACTGGGGCATCAAAGCTCTGACACCCCCACCCTGCCCCACCCCCCGCCCGCCCCCAGGGCTAAACACAAAAGCTGATGTTACCTGTGTGCCTGCTATCTTAGAAAGCAAGCTGTTGGTTTTTGTAAAATAGGGAGAGAGCAGGAGGGAGGGAGGGATAGAGGGTGGACAGAAGGAGGGAGAGGTGGATGGAGTCAGTCAGAGATAGAGGGGAATCGGGAAACCCATGCGTCCTTGACTACAACAGAGGGATGCCCACGCGACGGAAATCCCAGCACAGTTCTCTGGAACCCAGATCATGATGAGAGTAACTGGAATGAAGGCTCAAAGGGGAAAACAGAACAGAGGGAAGATTTCTCAGCCCCTCGCGGAGGACTGCTGAATAAAATGTGTAAAACCAGCCAATAAAAGGTCTTTCTCCCCTTTGCGGTTTAGGGATATATCCTCCACCAAATTGCAGGCCCTGCCGAGCCACGGGCTGGAGTCCATCCAGACGCTCATCGCCGCGTCGTCCTACTCCCTGAGAACACTGCCCTCCAGAGAAAAGTTCACCAGCCTCCTGGTTGCCACGCTGACTTACCCCAGCCACTGCTGCGCTTTCAGGAATTTGCCCAAGAAAGAGTAAGTGGGTAGCACAGGCCGCTGTGGGGAAACCGGGATCTAGACCTAGTCCCGTGGCCCATAGCGCCCTGTCCTTTTCCGGCCGCTCTCAGGTAGACCAAAAGAAAACCAGCAGGCCCTCGTTCCGAGGAACTGCCCAGGAGTTGAGGCACCTCTGCAGCCGTTTGCAAAAGCCAGTGTCAAAACAAAACAAAACAAAACTAGCCTGTTCTAATTCTTAGCAGGAAACATCATTTACCCAATTAATCCTTAATTTAAAATTGTCAACTTAAAACATGGTTCTGTTTGGGGTTTGGTTTTGCTTCTTAACTATTTGTCCCCCACGGAAAGCAACGTCCATTTCAGAACAGAAATTTAGCTCCTACAGATTGGTTAATGAGCTCTGGCTGCTCTGTGTCCAGCAGAGGGCGCCTGACCGCCAGGCTAGGGGTGGGGGGTGAAGGATCAAGGGGCAGAATTTCTTACATCACTCTGCATGGCGACCCAGCAAGCGTCACATGTATAAATGAAAGAAAAGGCGACAGCTAACTTTTAAGTGTGTGAAGCAGGCTTGTGACACTTCCTGGCTCTCCGCCTCTGTCTCAGGCTTGTTTGTTGCCACTGCTGTCCTCTATGTGCTCTATTGTTTTCATAACTCCCAGTGGGGAAAAAGCAGTGCTCTCCAGAGTCATTGCTGCAGCCTGCAGAGACTGCTCGATCAATTAATTAGACAAGGCACTGCAGAGGGACACCAGGCTGCTGCTGGCTTTGTTTGGAATTAACTTGTTTATGGCTGGTCAACTAGCCTGGAGAGAGAGAGAGAGAGAGAAGAGAGAGAGAGAGAGAGAGAGAGAGAGAGAGAGAGAGAGAGAGAGAGAGAGAGAGAGAGAGAGAGAGTTGTGTCTGTCTGTGTTTGTGTATGTCTGTGTGTGTCTGTGTATGTGTATGTGTCTGTGTCTGTGTGTTTTGAATAAGTAGAATCAGTTCAACCTAAAGATTTGAGACAGCTGAGATTACAAAACACTCGCCGTGTTTAAAGATTTACACCATTTAGGGAGGCATAGGTGGTGATGAGGATCTCATTATGTAGACCAGGTTGGCCTCAGACTCACAGAGATCCACTTGCCTATGCCACCGTGACGAGCTCAAGTTCTACACCATTAACTGAGCTTCCGAGGACTTAAATTGAGTACGAGCCATGTTGTAAGAAGATGAGATGTTATCTCAGCCCTCACAGAGTAGACAGGCAGACACCTGTGTCAGTGGATGTTGTAACAGAACAGAGAATAGGGCAAAATGTCCCAGGGCTGTAGAGGAGTGTCTACGGCTCGTGGGAGACTTCCTAGGGGAGATGACTTGTGCTGGGCCTTGCAGAGAAGGCTTGGACGAAGCATGTCAAGATGGAAAGACTTGTGTGAAGGCGTGGGGCAAGGGATACTAGAAGATGAATGCTACTCAAAATCAGGCATGGGAAGATGTGGGCACACGGAGGGAGATGAGTCAGGAGAAGAGGCCCCAGGGCGTGGTGGGCTTTGAGTGCCAGCCCTAGGTTAGCAAGAGGATGAGGAGCTTCAAGACTCCAAAATGAGAATATGCGAATTTGCTTTTGGGAAATCTCAGGATGGCAGCGGTCAAGTGACCAGTGGCCTGGAGGTGGCCAGACAGGGATGTTGCTTGGGATAAGGCTGGTTCTGGTCACCTACTTACATGTCTGTGGCAAAGAGGTCACACTCCTCAAATTACTGACATGTGAATGTTTAGTTCAAGACCTTTTGTTCCAGAAGACAGGAAAAGATGATCTCTAGGTAGAAAGAGGGTTATGGAATTATGACTATCTGAGCTTGGTGTGAAGGTGCTATCCTGACTGGGCTTGGGAACTCTACTAATTCACAGGTACTTCTGTGACTATAAAGCCCGAAGCCGTAGAGGTCAGTGAAGATGGAGACCTGAAGTTGGCTTTGTGAGATTTTGGTGCAAACTGGGGCTCCCTGGAGATAATGTACATGGCTGCCTGGGCAGAGCCATGTAAGACGTTCCTGTGAAGACAGAATGGCTATCATGCCATGCTATCGTTTGAAGGCCAAGTTCCTGGTAACTGTGGACTTGCCTACATAACCTCCATCCAGTATCTCCATCAAATGCCAAGCCAGAAGTACCCTCACTCCATACTTACACAGGTTTGAGGGACTCGGTCCAAGTGCATAAACTTATAATACTGCCTCAAATAACAAGACGGTTAGTCTTCGAAAGGCCCAGCACCATGCCCCATATTTCTACCTTTGTACAAAACCATGGCTACAAGGACGTGTTTGCTGGGTAATGACATTACAGAGGCATGTCCACTTTGGGCTTCCTCATCTCTCCTCCTCCTCAAGGAAGACAGAGGCACTGGCAGTAACTCCCATGCCCTCACCCCTCATGCCTGAACCCCCCTTAGGTTTGGTCCGTCTCTGTGTCAAGCCCCCTTTTGCTAACCCAGACTCCCCAGAGGGGAAGAGAAGGGAACATTCCCGCAACGCAAAAGCTGAAGGCCTAAAATCCACAACGGACACACCCAGCCCCATGGAATCAATCCTGACAGAAAGACTACCAGTTATGATTCAAAGATGAGGATGCCAAGTGGTTAATCAAGGCCAATGTGAGGGAGAGGAGTTGGTGAGGAACGAACTTGAACATACCACAAAAGGGAGCTTTTAATAAGCATCGAGAAACCCATGATTCAATACCCCAATTTTACATGGGTCCCCTCCCCCTGAACCCACACAAAACACTCAGCATTCAAAGCATTTTCTCCAAGCTGGAGACAGGCTAAGGACAATGCAGGGGGCTTTACCCTCTCGTCAGGAAGCGTTTCAGTCAGGACAATGGCGCAGAACACACTGAGGTAAGAGTGAGGCATAAATAGCCAGATCAGGCCAAAGGATCAAAAGCTCAATGGCTTGTTTTTCTGCCTCTTCTCTTTCAGACAGAATTTTTCATTTTCCATTTTTGAAAACTTTTCCAAACAATGTGAAGGCACAGTAAGAAAACCAAATAATGAAACGCTGTAAGTATTCACATGCAGACGCTCTGGAGGCCACATCTTGTTCGGTGGGCACCTTATTGTTGTTTGCTGCGACGATTTTCTTTTGATAAAACGTCTTGGTGAGTGGATGTTTGCAAGGTGTTTTTCTATAGTTTAAAAATGGGAATGTTTTTTCTTTGCAAGAGGCAGCTAGTTGTACATGCTATCTTAGCTGTTTTTTTAAGCAAGAGGAAATGAAAAGGTCTCTTTCAAGAATATAACGAAGTTGTTACTGTATGCATTAATGTGTACAAAACTGCAGTTTTATTTTCAGACATTTGGGTGTCACTAAGAGATGCTGTAAATGAGGACTTCATCTGAAGTAGCTGGCACTAGTCACATAGTTGTCAAAGGCAAACTGACTGCACACATAGCTTCTAAAGGCAGGTAGCTCCCTTTAAAGACATTTGGACCAACTTGACCAGTGTGCACCTGAGTGTGGTATTACTCTTTCACATGTGTGTCTCTGTATGTGCAGACGCACATGCATGTGCTTGCACGGGAGACCAGGGGGCACCTTGGATGTCATTTCTCAGGAGCCATCCACCTCCAGCTCACCAGTTGGGCTAAGCTGACTGGCCCAGAGCTGTAAGGGACCCTCTCGTCTCCACTTTCCCAAGATTGGATTTTTTTTACAAGGATTCTAGGGATCCAACTCAGTCTTCATGCTTGTACAGCAAGCATTTTACTGGTGGCGCCATCTCCCCGGGCCCTAACATTAATCTTAATGCCATCATTACCATACACTAGATGGCAGCTACATGCCTATTCTACTGACTGATTCTAACATTTTTCCTGCTTTAAATGCTGACTGCCCTGGCATTTCCCTTACCTTCAACTGTGAAAGAGTATGCCTCAGAAGACAAGCCCCCATGTCCCTAAGCCACGTTTATTATCATTCCTCCCATGTGCCCCGGAGGATTACAAAACCAGACGTCCTTCTCAGGCAGTGCAAATCTCAATTTCCTCTTGTCCTCTCCTCACCAATCAGAGTACGATGGAGGCAGTGTGTGCTGTGACTGGGAGACCTCAAAGTTGGGTGTGCTCCTTGGCGGTAATGTTCTTGCATCACAGAGCTTGACAGGTACCTTTTGGGGAGCAATAGTTCTGGACCACACTTACACACATCTTTCTTTCTCAATAGAGAGCTACAGAAATGAGACTTGGCTTTCAGAGCCAGAGTGAAGGGCACTGTCACAGCATCACCCAGGATGGATGCCAGCCTGTCTCCTCTCCCTGCCTCTCCTCTCTATAATATTCCTTTCCTCAGGTGTCCCTCGTTGCGTCTCAGTCTCCTTCTGTAGGGCTCCTCTGCAGTCATGGGGCTTTATACTTAGAAACAGAAAACCATTTCTAATTACATTCGGTAGTGGTACCAAGGGTGCTAATGGGGAGAGACTTTTAATCCACCCTCAACCACCTCCATCAACCCCGCCACAGCCATTCCAAGAGAGCATCGCCTTTGGGTTTGCTATGGTGATGCTGTTTTGAGACAAGGCTCCTGCCCTTCAAACTACCTGAAATTAATACACAACTTAAGTTGCATTGCTCCCATGGAACATTTTTTTTTGGTTTTTTGAGGGTTTCTCTGTGGCTTTGGAGGCTGTCGTGGAAGTAGCTCTTATAGACCAGGCTGGTCTCGAACTCACAGAGATCTGCCTGCCTCTGCCTCCCGAGTGCTGGGACTAAAGGCATACGCCGCCACCACCCAGCAGAAAGTTATTTTTTTTTAAACATAGGGATTCCCATAGCCTGGGCTGGCCTCAAACTATGTAGTCAAAACTTACCTTGACCCTCTGATCCCCTGTATTCTGGGACTCCAGGTATGCACTCTTGTGTCTCATCAACTTAGTGCTGAGGACTAAATCCAGGGCCTTGAGCGTGCTAGGTGAGCACTTACCAACTGAGCTGTGTCTCCTGCGCTGAAAGCCGTGTCCCTAGTCCTCAAAGCACCTTTGTGTTGTTGTTTTGTAAAAAGGCAAAGCTCCACCAGATAGTCATTCTAAAGCCATCCCTGAGCCTCGGCCATGCTTCCCAAGAAAACCCAGTGTTCTCACCACAGTAGCTGACCCCAGGGCTCTCCTAAAACCGCCCAACATGTCCTCTTTGTCTCTCAGCTGTCACTGGAACAGTCACCCCTTCTACTCCCTAAGCCAGTATCCCTAAGTCACACTCCCTAACGTAGCCACCAGAACCTGCCTTTGTCAGCAGGCATGACACTGCCCTTGGGAGTCGGTGGAGGAGAAAATCTGCCAGACGGACACCTGCCAGGGCAAAAAGACGGAGGGGTGAGACAGAAGGACCGTGTTCAGAAATCATGGCAGACAGCTTAGAGGTTCTAAATTAGCACCTCAAACAGCTGTGATGATTCGGCAAGGAGAAGAGTAAAAGAAGCCAAGACAACAATGGTTGGAATGCTTTTACCCAGTTTTTCGCTACTGTTTATTACAAGGCATCTTCGAAACCTGCTTGAAGTGTAGATTCCTGGGTTCCTTGCCTCTGGATTTTGATCTGCGTTTTAAACAAGCACCCTGGTGGTTCAGATAGACACTGATCCATCCGACCACACTTTGGAAACCACCCACTCAGATGATAAAGATCTCTGAGCTTGGATGTGAAGGCCAAATCCTGCCACTGTCCCCACAAAGGACCTTGGGTGTATCCCCACCTCCTTTAATCTTGGTTTCCTTTCTAACAATATGAGGAATTCAATCAGATGATCTCCAAGCACCAGTGCTAAGAAGGATTCATTTCCTTAATAATTCTTTATAATCATCTTCTCCTGGAAAACTAACAGTATGCAATTATGTTGATGTCTATGACGTGAGAACTAAGTGTGTTGCTTTAAAGTAACTTACTAACAACACAGGTAAGGGTTCTATGCTGTCCTTTGTGTGGCCACAGCCCTTCCCCTTCTCTACTATTATCACGTCTTTTAAAAGAAAACTCTGTGTATTCCCTTCAGTACTTAATGCCCCAGATATATTCTCATTAGCTCAGTGAATTAGGTACAACTTCCAAGTATAGAACATGAAAGATCTTGAGGGTAGGGAAAGATACTTTTTAAACACATTTTAATTAATTCTTTGGGAATTTCATGTAATGCATTTTGGTCATATTCATACCCACTCCTTCCCTAAACTCTTCCTACATATATTTCCCATCTCTCCACCTCTTCTACCTTCATGTTCTTTTCTTTTCTTTTTTTTAAATAACTTACTGAGTCCAGTAAGTGCAGCCTGTACACTCATAGGTGTTAGGCTTGAGGTATAATTGACCTACCAGGAGCCACACTCTCAAAGAAAACTGACTCTCCCTTTCCCAGAAGCCATCAACTGTCAATAGATCCTCAGGAGTCCGGGCTCATGAGGGTCTCATCCACTGCATACAGGATTGTTAACCAGCCTGATCTTGTGCAGATCTTATGCAGGCAACCAGAGCTGTTGTGAGTTCATGAGGGCAGCCATCCTGCAATACCCAGAAGACACAATTCATCCTGGTCCTCTCCAAGCTCTGGCTCATAAATTCTTCCCACACCCTCTTCCATGGTGGCTCCTGAGTCTTGAGGGGGAGGTAGACTGATGTCTCTTCTGTGGCTAAGCACTCAGCTGACACCGATTCCCTGCCTTTGGCCAATTGTAGGTTTCTGCATTAATCACCATTCACCGCACAAAGCCACTCCATTGATGTAGGCTGAGAGCTACACTAATCTTTGGGCGTAGAGACTGAACTTAAAGAGCAGCTTGGTACTTCGTCCTCTTAGAAAAATAATAATAATAGGCTCACCCCTGTGGCCTCTAAGCTCCACAACCATAAGTTCCTGGCCAGATTTACAGTACCAGGTGTGCATTTCCTCTTGTAAAGTATACCTTAAAATCAATCAGAGGTTGTTACTCCTATAACATTTGAATCACTATTGAATCTATGGGTTTATCTTTCCATACGTGGTGTTATACTTCACAGGATTCACAGATGAGTAAGACTGTTGATGACTTGCTTTTCCCTATCAGCCTGCATAGCACTTTCTAGTACTGTGAAAGCTGGCCAATACTGAGGAAGCTAGTCTCCTCCTCCCTAGGAAGGTCAAGATACCTTTAATGAGAGAAATTCTAAGGTCAAGTACATACTTGCAATGGCCTTTACAGGAAATGATACCCATTTATCCAACTCCCAAAAATAGCAGGTTATGAATAAAGTCAAAACTCATTAAGCCCATATCCGACATCAAATATATGCTCAAGGTTTTCATGCCTTATTAACTCCTTCCAGAACCAGGGTTTCCTAGTCTAGATTTATTCACTCCACAAAAATTTATTGACTGGAAGAAAAACTCTGCTAGACACCATGACTTTAGAAATAAGATCTTGATCTTGGTAAAGTTCTTGTCTTGCAAGCATGAATGCCTGACTTCATTCCCAGAACCCACATTTTAACAGAGAAAGAAGAATAACAGTCAAATGTGATCATGTAAGATTGTAGTTCCGGGGCTGGAAAGTCAAAGACAGGACAGCCAGCTTAGCCTACAATGTAAGATCCAGGTCAATGAAAGACTCCATCACAGAAAACAAAGGTGGAACTGTTACCAGAGGAATGGCATTCATGGCTTTCCTCTGTCCTACACACAAACATACACACGTGAAAATTAGAGACAAGCAAGAATGATGGTGCATACCTATAATGCAAAACTTGGGAGGTAAGATCAAGAGTTTAAGGCCAGCCTTAGCTATGTAACAAGTTTAAGGCCAGCCTCGGTGACATGGGATTCTTTCTCAAAAAACTAAGAGAATATTAAATGAGATAAGCACACACCATTACTTATTGGTGATATGTTTTGATAACTAAGTGCAACTCTAGCAGAAAGGAAGGATAACAAACTCTTTGGAAAATACAACCAAAAGTGGCTTCCTTGAGGAATTTCTCTTTCGGGATTAGGGAGAATTGTTTTAGAGAGATGAGGAAAAGAAAGAATATTTCCAGAAATGGGCAGAAGCCAGGCCAAGCAAAGTCTTGGGTTCATCAAAAGGAATGTGGATTTTATCCCACAGAGGATGGAAACATGGAGAAGGGCTGAACTGGATAAGAAGAATTCAGATTTCTGTTTAGGAAAGGCCATTTCAGGGGACTGGAATGGACAAAACTAAGACTGGATAAAGGCTGTCAAGGAAAAAAATCAACAGAGGTGACCCTGAGAGAGCGTGTGAGCCCAGGGATCCCAACGGGATGGGTGCTTCGCCAGCAACAGACTCACACCCTGAGGAGCGCTGAGTCTCATCTTCCTTGCTGTTGTCCATGAGCTCCTTCCTCTTCCCCTGCATTTCTAGTAAACTGCTGCTGTTTTCTAGTTCTCACTTGGAACATTGGATCAATCAGGGATTTCAGTGCAAACAGGTCCCCACTAGCTGACGACTCCTAATGCTGCAAGCCTTCCAATCCCACTGTGTGCTACTACCAACAGCTTGGTAGCAATTTGGTTAGCAACTAAATGAGATAAATAGATAAGAAAATGCCAAGAAAGGATTCTTTTAAATTTAGCATATATATATTATGTCTCCAAACTTCTTTTCCAAAGAAAATCATCCCTTGTAAACAGCTTCATTAACTCTTTATATCGGCGTGTTAAATAGATATGTATTATAGCATCTAGATGGCTTTTCATTTTCTTTTGAAAGAATTCCATCAAATGAGATAATTTAACAAGTAAATATAAGGCTAAGGCTGTGATAGCTTTGTTTTCTTTTGTTTCTTGGGCTCTAAAAGCCCACCAAGTATGATTTTTTAAAATTTCTTTTAATGCTCAGAATTGTAGGAAACCTCTTACATTTCCCTCAAGCCAATATTTGTCTTGCAGTTATTCGGCTATTTTTGAGGAGAGTGAACTGAGTGGCTGGGATTACGATTACGGCTTCTGCTCACCCAAGACACTGCAATGTGTCCCGGAACCAGATGCTTTTAATCCCTGTGAAGATATTATGGGCTACGCCTTCCTTAGGGTCTTGATTTGGCTGATTAACATCCTAGCCATTGTTGGCAACTTGACAGTCCTCTTGGTTCTCCTGACAAGTCGTTACAAGCTGACGGTGCCCCGTTTCCTCATGTGTAACCTCTCCTTTGCAGACTTTTGCATGGGGCTCTATCTGCTGCTCATTGCCTCCGTGGACTCCCAAACGAAAGGCCAGTACTATAACCATGCCATAGAATGGCAGACCGGCAGTGGCTGTGGCGCAGCTGGCTTCTTCACTGTGTTCGCTAGTGAACTCTCGGTCTACACCCTCACAGTCATCACTCTAGAGAGGTGGCACACCATCACCTATGCCGTTCAGCTGGACCAAAAGCTGCGGCTGAGACATGCCGTCCCAATTATGCTTGGAGGATGGCTCTTTTCTACTCTGATCGCCACATTGCCCCTTGTAGGTGTCAGCAATTACATGAAGGTCAGCATCTGCCTCCCCATGGATGTGGAATCCACTCTCTCACAAGTCTACATATTATCCATCTTGATCCTCAATGTGGTGGCCTTCCTCATCATCTGTGCTTGCTACGTTAGGATTTACTTTGCAGTTCAAAATCCAGAGCTGACGGCTACTAACAAGGATACAAAGATTGCTAAGAAGATGGCCATTCTCATCTTCACGGACTTCATGTGCATGGCACCCATCTCATTTTTTGCCATCTCAGCTGCTTTCAAAGTGCCCCTTATCACTGTCACCAACTCGAAAGTTTTACTGGTCCTTTTTTATCCTGTCAATTCTTGTGCCAATCCATTTCTGTATGCAATTTTCACGAAGGCATTTCAAAGAGATTTCTTTCTGCTACTGAGCAAATTTGGCTGCTGTAAACACAGGGCTGAACTTTACAGAAGGAAGGAATTCTCTGCCTATACCTCCAACTGCAAAAATGGTTTCTCAGGATCAAGTAAGCCTTTCCAGCCTGCCCTGAAGTTGTCCACAGTGCACTGTCAGCACCTTGCTGTCCTAAGTAAGACTTGCCAACAAGAATGCTAATTCACTAACTGCATTATTGAATTGTACTTAGATATGTAAAAAGAAAAGTCTACCTGAATTGGTCACTTTAATGTAATGCATTTTAGAAAAATATTTATTCTGAGACACTTTAGGAGAATTGTACTGGGTTCAGAGGGTGCCCCTTAACCAGTGGTCATGGGAACTGGGCAGCCAGAACTGCCCTCTGGAACTTGATGACATAAATTTCAGGAGTGTTTAGAAACTTTTGTAATAATTTGAATGGTAATTTTGTTTGCTGAATCCAATATTAAGAGAACCTAAGGTGTCTTTTTTTTTTGTATGTCTCAGGTCTTTTTCACTTCAATCTTGTAATTTTTGCTTTAATCCCCAAAAAGCATTAGTTCATACCAGATTGGAAATTTTAAGTGGTCTTTGCCCTCAGATGTCTGATAAACACATTCAAGAGATGCAGTGTACAGTGTAGTAGCCATTCGCCTTACATGGTACATGAAAGTTTCTTAGCCACACTCCAAGCGCTTCACATATCTGACTAGTAGCAGGCGGTACAGATGCAAACTGTCTTCATCAGTGTAGGGAATTCTATTAGGCATCTCTGTTCTAGAGACTTCTGTTTCCTACTTACAATCTATTTACTTCACTTCCCATCTGAAGGCACATTTCTGCACACTTGTCGGGCCTGCAGATACTGGACACCTGGCAGGCAAGAATGCATCTCAGCCCATTTTGCTTCCTCATCTCCTACCTTGGGATCTTGGGAAAGACACATAATAAATGAGCCCAGCTGAACTGACTAAATCTACAAGGAAATGTATTTCTAGAACCTTTGCATTTTTATGCAAAATAAATACTTAAATATTGAAAACGATTAACTTAACATTATTTCCATCCTTTACAGTTTATTGAAAAATATATCTAATATTTGTTAGAAGCACCTTTTACTTATTACAATCAACTCTTTACTTATTATAATCAACTCTTAAAGGACAGCCAAACTATGGGTCTAATTGCAGCACTTCTGTTTGTCGCTTCGACTTTTTTATCAAAAGCTCACTATACACTCAACACCTTGGGTTTTTTTTTCTATTTTTTATTATGTAATTTCACCAACTGAATCTTCATAAAACCCTACAGAGCAGATGCCATTAATCTTCTATGAGAGAAAAACCGATTATCATTTTTGAAAGTACTGAATCTAGTGAAAGATTCACTAAGATGATTCAGTCTCAAAGCTCTCCCAAAGCCTAGCCTCTTAATGATTCCCATTTCAGTAATCATGGTTTTCCAAGAGTCACTTGGGCTTGAAATACACCAGAAAATAAGATACGTTCATGGATGGACAGACAAATAAAAATTGGATAGAGAGGTTTTGTTACATAAGAGTTTAGATACATTCCTTAAATTTTCCCCAATATTGTATTATGAACATTTTCAAATGTATAGAAATGCTGAAGGAACTATGCAGTGAACACCATATACAACCACTATTTACAGTCAGCAATATTTGCTATAATGACTCCCACACATTACTGTGCAATTATCTGTTATTTATCTGTCCATTAATGCATCTCATATTTCGATAGTTTTTCAAGTAATCTGCAGACATCAGCCTTACACAAAAGTATATACTATACAACCCCATGTATATGAATGAACCTTAGCACTCTGACACATCAGATGCAATTTAATATTTATTTACATCTTAGGTATAACTTACATGTGGAGGAATGGACACATCTTAAGCATGCCACTTGAGTTTTGAGAATTGCATGTACCTGTGCAACACAAGCTTCTGTCAAGGTTCAGCACTGTTATCATCAGAGAGTTGCTCAGTCCTACTGCAGAGGTGCTGTTGGCCAGAGTTTTGTTTTCCAGCTTAGTGTTTGCTCTCCTAGACGCCGTATAAGTGCACTTATGCAAGACATGGGCTTTCTCACAAGGCTTCGGGACTCCGAATAATGTTTTTGCTATTTATCCCTTTAACTGCTTGAAGCTGTTCATTCCTCTTCATTGCTAGCTAATATTCTACCACAGAGTCCTCCTGCTTGTGGTTATCACGGCTATTTCCAGTTTTCAACTCCCTGTGAGCATTTTGTTAAATAAATGTCCAGCCACCACCAGACTCTGCACATTCCACTTGATCTCAATTCTTAAGTCATTATGCAAAATGATTCAGAGACAATTGTAAGCTTTTTAAAAAATGTGTGTTTTCCCATTTATGACTTTTCTACTCTGTAACAAACGATTTGGTTCAGATGGAGCGCTCTCTCCTCTCTCTCTCTCTCTCTCTCTCTCTCTCTCTCTCTCTCTCTCTCTCTCGTCTGTCTCGGCAATACAGCATAATATCAACTCATCATGCTACTATGTGACTACTTGATATTCTCTCTGATTCATAAATCCCAGGAACAAAACAACTCAGTAAGAAAAGTAAGATAAGAAGACTCAAACCCATCCTTGTAAATAAGCTCTTAGTCCAGCACACACTCAAACAGTCTGAGCCTAAAGAACTCACAGGTGCCCTGAAAGCCATTCATGGCCTCTCACACAGATGTTGGTCTTCATGTTCTACACTCTGACTTACAGTTTCATTCCCAGTTTGCTGTCTCCCTCATTCTCATACCCTCCCACCTGTAGATCTATGTTTGAGTTATCTTCCAACCCAGTTCTGTCCTTTATATCCGCAGAGCCATGTGTCTATCTCAGGACATCCGCCTACTACTCCTGAACTGTGCCATAGCTACCTAACTTGTATTCATACCCAGTCTTTCCCAAGTCCTCACACACACCAGCAGTGAACCTTCCCAAAACCTTATTCCATCTCATTGCGTGCCTGCACAGAATTCCCAGGCAACTCATCAACACCTGGAGAATGTAAGTGCACACTCCTGGGCTAACACTTGGAGAGTACGGACTCCACCCTCAAACCTGCCCAGATCTCCAGATTCTGTCATTTCATCTAGGGCTGAGAGAGCATCCCTCAATGTGGGATGGGCACCCAAAGTCTATTTGTACGCCAAAGATAAATACTGATCTACTACCCAGGGCCCCATAGATTGCCTCGGCCTCCTCACCGATACCCACATTCAGGGGATCTGGATCAATCCCGTGCTGGCCTCTCAGCCATCAGTCTGGGGTCCAAGAGCTACCCCTTGTTCAGGTCAGCTGTCTCTGTGGGTTTCTCCAGCCTGATCTTGACCCCTTTGTTCATCACTCCTCCCTCTCTGCCACTGGGTTCCAGGGGTTCAGTTCAGTGTTTAGTTGTGGGTGTCTGCCTCTGCTTCCGTAACAGCCACTGGATGGAGGTTCTAGGATGGCATATAAGGTAGTCGTCAATCTCATTATTGGGGAAGGGCATTTTAGGTAGCCTTTCCACTATTGCTTAGATTGCCAAGTGGTGTCATCCTTGTAGATCTCTGGAAATCTCACTAGTGCCAGATCTCTTCTCAAACTTATAATGGCTCCCTCTATTATGGTCTCTCTCATCCTGCTCTCCTCTATTCTTCTCCCAACTCAACCTTCCTGCTCCACCATGTCCTCCTCTCCCCTCCTCTTCTCCCCCTCTCTTTTTCCCAGCTCCCTCTCCGCTTCCCCCTTGCTCCCAATCTACTCAGAAGATCTTGCCCCATTCCCCTTCTCTGTGGTACCATGCATATCTCTCTTAGGTTTCTCCCTGTTTCCCAGACTCTCTGGCAATGGGACTGTGGGCTGGCAATCCCCTGCTCCATGTCTAAAATCCATATATGAGTGAGTACATACCATGTTTGTCTTTTGTGACTGGGTTACTTCACTCAGGATGGTTTCTTCTAGTGCCATACATTTGCCTGAAAATTTCAAGATTCTGTTGTTTTTTTTCCCCACTAAGTAGTACTCCATTGTGTAAATATACCACATTTTCTCTATCCACTCTTCATTTGAGGGGCATTTAGATTGTTTCCAGGTTTTGGCTATTACAAATAATGCTGCTATGAACATAGGGGAAGAGACGTCCTTGTTGTATGAATGTGCATCTTTTGGGTACATGCCTAAGAGTGGAACTGCTGGATCTTGTGGAAGAATGATTCCCATTTTCCCGAGGAATCTCCATACTGATTTCCAAAGTGGCTGTACGAGTTGGCACTCCCACCAGCAGTGGAGGAGTGTTCAGATAAACTACTTTCTTTTAGCATGCCCAGTTTTCAAACTGGTTTGTTTTCATAACTAAAATATAAAACTTCCTCTGTTAAGTATTTATGCATGACATGTCTACAATGTGTATTACTGTCTGTATAATCCCTCATGACTAAATCATAAACAGTCAGACACTCAATGATTTTATAACTCTTATTTTTTTTTACTATGTTAGATATTGTTATGAGTGGGCTGCAAAATGACTTAAAAGGATTAATCAACCTGGAATAAATCATCTAAACTTATAAAAATAACTTTAAAAGACTGGTATTTTGTTCTTGGCATACCACACTGGTTATAAAGGGCTTGGTTTTACTTAACAGATTAAGTCTAAATATAAATGAAGAATCTTTCTTACAAAGTGTTTCAAATAAATGGGCCCATAGAAGAAATAGTCCTTCCAGGGCTGAGGGGACGGCTCAGTTGGTAAAGTACTTGCCGCATAAGCATAAGGACCTGAGTTCAGATCCCCAGCCCCACATTAAGACAGGGAGCAGTCATATGTATCTGTAATCCAGCACTGATCAGGAGATGTGGACGGACACAGATTTCTAGAGCTCATTGGTCAGCCAGCTTAGCAGAACCAGTGAGCTCCAGGTTCAATGAGAGCTCTTTTCTCAAAAATTAAGATGAGAGTGATCAAGGAAGGTACCCAGTTCTGACCTCTGACTTCGGGCACTTGTATGCACACACATCTGTACGGGATACACAAACATATTTATATACACAAAAATGATGTCCCCTTCAAAATGGGGGCTATTTTCAACCAGCCTGAAAAATATTAGGTGGAAAACTCCAGAAACAAGCAACTGACACATTTCTGACCGATCACTTTCATGCATGGTATTATAAAATCTCATGCCATCACACTCAGGCACAGGAGGCTGGATCATGGTTTTATCCAGCAGAGTCACACTGTGCTGTGAGTCATTTAGCAGCCACCTTGGTTATCGGTGTCCCTGTCACAATGTCACGTTCAAATAACCTTTGTTTTATTTAATGTCAGGGAAAGGGCAGCAGTGGCGATGCAAAGAAGACTCTGACACAGAATAAATTAACCCTTGTGATACGTAGCACAAGACTCAGGCCTGGTACATGCAGGCTTTGGTAATGTCTGAGATTTCAAGCATGCACTGGGGTCTCTCCCTGAATCAAGAGGGGTTACTGCCTTTTCAATTAATATTTTCCCCTATGAGTTACACTATGGGCTTCCTGCTTAAATTTAGGTTTCAAGTTATAAATCACAATGTTCCCAGCTGACATAGAGAATATTTATGTGGAAAACAGTGTAACATTAACCTACTAGGGTATGAATTAAAATAAAGTCCCCAGCTAAATTCCCTGATTTTTACTCTAACTAGCTGTTACTATTTTCTCCGAACTGACTAGCTCCCCCATAGAACTTAAATAACACCAGGATGTCAGTTGAGATGAGAAACCCGGTGCTCTGTGAAGTCTGCTGTGCAAGGGATGTTTGCACATCGTCAGCACCTGCTGGGGTGTTCTGCACATTGAATAAAGCAAGCAAAAGAGGAGGACCAGGGAAGGTCAGGTGCTCGGTCCCTAAGAGACTAATTCTGTGAGATTTCAACAAGATCTTGGCTTGCAGGGAAACAGGAAGAGCATTTAAAGAGCTCTGTCAGACAGGAGTAGGAGGAAGGTTTGTGAAGTCCTCAAAGTATGCCGGCACAGAATTAGGATACATGCTGCTCTCACAGGTATCCAACACAGAGAACTCCAGCCTCACAAGAGACATTTCCTCCACCAATAAAATGGCACATGACATTTACTAAGGGATTATCTATGGACTTAAAAACTTATACTATGATACTCTGATGCAACGTGCAGTAAGAAATATTTACCTTGGTATAGAGAGTTAAAGGGAAATAATGGAATGGGGATGCAGAGACACAGATAATGATCCACGGGACTAGGTTCAAATATAGGTTAAATATAATTTATTTCGGGGAGAAGCCACTTACACAAGAAGCAGATGGCCACCGCAGGTTCCCGCTCCAAGGATTCCCACAGTCTGCCCTGTGACCCGACTGAATGCAAGAGAGAGACACCTGCCTGGACCCCAGATCTAAACTCACTCCCAGTCACGTCCTCCCCTGTGACCATGCCCGTTTGGGTCAGTGCTACAGGTGCACGCAGGGTGGATCTCTCACTACAATTTCCCTTTTAGTCTAAAGAAAGAGATTTAGGCTTGATACAAAACTATATACAAAGATAGCAAATATCGGCTGGGCATTGGTGGCACACACCTTTAATCCCAGCAGAAGCAGGTGGATCTCTGTGAGTTCGAGGCCAGCCTGGTCTACAGAGAGGACAGGCTCCATAGCAATATAGAGAAATCCTGTCTCGAAAAACCAAGAAAAAAAAAGCAAACAAACAAAAACAACGGTAGCAAATATCAAGTATGCTCTAGGGGAAGGAAAAGTAAGAACACACACACTTACGACCTATCACCAGTGAAGCAACTAGAGCAAAGGCAAGAACTATATATCCAGTCCTAAGGTAAAGACATAACAACCTAATGTTTATATCTAGGAAAAGAGAACAATAATCGTGACAGTCTAATCTTCAACCTCATCAAAGAACCGAGAAGGAGGATAACAATACTATGGTAGGCAGGAAGAGCAGGCGAGCAACTTCTAAAGGTGCAGTGCAAACAGAAACAGCAGGACACCTGGACAGTCACCCAAAGTCTCACAGCAGCATAGGAGCAACCAGCTCTGGCTAAGGCCTAGAGTATCTGACTGACCAACACAGCAGCAGGGAGGTAGAAAGGCTGTCTTACCCTGTTTTGACAAGGTTCAGCAGTCTTTTATGTTTGTCTCCTGCAAGCACAGTAGGACAGCATGTCCAAAATCAGCTGTCAAGGTGGGGGCAGATCTTTGCCCAAGAGGCCATTAGCTGAGGAGAGAACAGATTCCAGAAGAAGTGACATCAGTGCCCAACATTTTCTCGGGAAGCTTGGTGCTGTCAGGAGCAATTGTATGTCATGTTAAAAGAGTACTAATATTAAAAAATTTAAATGCCATATTCTGTTGGGGCAGGATCTGATCAGGAGATGTGGACGGACACAGATTTCTAGAGCTCATTGGTCAGCCAGCTTAGCAGAACCAGTGAGCTCCAGGTTCAATGAGAGCTCTTTTCTCAAAAATTAAGTGAAAGAAAAGAAAAAAGTAAAAGTATATAGAATGGAAAATACATGGAGAGTCTGGATACTGTGTGCTGTTGTGTTGTCTTTAAACTGTTTAATTGCTAAGAAAGAAACAAAAACTACTAAAAGATATTTGATTATCAATGCTGCTGAAATAATCCAGCTTACATATTTTGAAAATGCTTTGACTTCTAAATTTAAATATAAGGACAGGTTACTTGGGAAAGAATTTCTGATTTTGTTTCCACAAAAAACAAAAAGCTGTGGGTTCCTTCCAGACTAGTATGGTTTGATGAAGCAAGACCTCTGAATGGCCCAAATGATTCAACATCTAAAACAGCTAAGATGATACATCCTTACAGACCCCGAAAATAAGGACTTACACAGGTTTCTGAGTTTTGTCATGAACCCCATAGTATTTCAACGCCCCTTACCAGCAGGAAGTAGTTTAGAAAGAATGACGCCCACATTCCCAAATATTGTTTATAAATGTTTGTTTACATTTATACAGGGTTGGTTATTGCTACAAATTCAAGGTCAATTTTGTGAGTCATCTCTAAAAACTTTTTACAGGGAGTGGGTATGGCTGTAGCCCCTGAGAAAAATAACAAAAGCCTACAACATATCTGTAGGAGTGAACCCCACAAAGCTACCCGCCCAACAGGGCGGGGTC